ACATCTTTTAGTTTTATTTTCATTAACTGGATGGATGCATATTAACAAACTTGCTTTTTTAATCATATATCTTTTATCATTTGAAATATTATTTCAGATTTCAGCCGAGTATTTTTTAATATGACCATTACTCCAATTTGGATTTTTCGCCATTTCCATTCGTGAGAAAATTAAATTGGACGCAGGTAGATTTTCCGAATTAATTCAGTAATAAACGAGCTGTGAATAGGAAAATTTAAGACTGAAGGAAAAGCTTTGTGGCAAAAACTGTATTGAAACATAAATTGTAATTATGTAAAATAAGCACATCTATTTCCAATGCTTATTTTAGAAATTGGTTTTCTCGTTGAGGTTCAACAAGCTAATTATTTCTGGTTTTAGTGGAGAGTTGCTGGCAAAATATACGCATATCTAGGATAATTTATTATCTAAAAAATTTGTATTGGGCTAAAATCTATTTTTGTTTTACAATTCTATCTCTTTTCCTTGATCTCTAAATATTTTTGTGCTGTGTACGCATTTTTACTTTTTGATATTCTTTAGTATTACAAATTATCTAGTGACGATTTCAACAAATAACATGCATGGCGACAAGTTTCGAATAAAAATTTATATAATTCGGCTTTTTTTATTAAAGCCTAGTGATAAAATTCTAAAATTAAGAAATTTGGTCAAATTTATGTGATATGAAAGGGTAGTTTGAAATTGTGTCATTTTCGGCGTAAGTTTATATTTAGGATTTTTATATGGTAAATTTTTTTTGTGAAATTAGACTGTGATATAGTCTGTAAAATTGTGATTTTAGGTCAAGTACTTTGATAAAGTGATGTGGATATTTTTGGATCTCAAAATTTGTGATTTTTTGTGAAATTGATCAATCAAACAAGGTTTGATGATTGGTACATATTTGGTTGTAGGTGGAAATTAAAAATTGGATTTTGATTGTCATTAAAATTAGTTGTAAAAAATCAAGTCGTATAAATTTTGTTTTTGAAGCATCGTCATGCATGTGGATTATTGTTGCATGATATTTTGGCGTAGTATTACATGATCTTATGAAAAATGTCTTATATATCTCTTTTGGATTTGTTAACTTTCCTTATTATTTTTGCTATTTCTATATTTTTCTCAATTTCAATAAATATTTTGGCATTTTTTGGATTGGTGATAGCAATACAGCTAGGAAAGGTCATCCATAGGGTTAATATTTTGTTCCATAAAAATAAAAATTATTGCTGATTGTTGAAATTACTCAATTTATTATGGGTTTATTTTGATTTGTGGATTTTCTAAATACTTCTCGATAATTTTTTTGATGATTGTAAAATGGGCAAAAATATTTCTGTGTATTATTTGCAACAATAGGTCAAATGGAATATAAATTTATGTTTGTTCTTTGGATAACTTATTTTTAATTATGATTTTTGAACTTCTGAACTAAAAGTACTTTTTTTTCTTTAAGACAATTTTTTTAAAGAAATTTATTGGACATTTTGGGGATATGGGATGATGTCACCTTCTTCAAGAACTCTTGATAGTAACTAAAAAAAACATTATGCATTTAAAAGTGCTAGAATTGGAAAATGTTAAGTTATTAAGATGAAAAGAGAATTTGTTCAATTTTATAAGTATATAATAATTTTTCTAATTTGTTATCAATAGTTTGTGAAGAAGGACAAATGTTTTGTCCTTAAGACGAAGACATTTCATATCCCCAAAACGTTCATAAAGTAATTGAAAAAGTTTAAATAAATAAAAATTCTTGAAGAGATTTTTAGTTCATAAATTTAAATCATTTTGTTGCTAGAACGATGTTTTCTTTAAACACGAATATAATTAGTATAAATAAAACTAAACTATAAGAATAACTGAAGCAATATCAACAACTATAAACATGTTTTTTTGCAATTTTTTTTTCCATTAAATCGTAAATAAATCATCAAAAGCACTATTAAATAATACCATATAAAATATAACGAAGCACAAACACGCCCAATTGGCTTGTTTTATATTAATAAAAAATTCAAAACAATGAATAGCAATAAAAAATTATTGATCAATAATTTAATAGCAAAAAGTAACAATATATTAAATATGTACACGTAATTATATACATAGTAATATTTATATATTAGAGACAAGGCGATTGTATATTTGTATTCTAATATTGTTTTTTCTGGATGGAGAATATTCAATTTCGATTTGTTTCCTCGAAGGAAATAGTAATAAATGAAGTAAATAACATTATGCAGAGATATTATATTTACGATTAATATTTTATTAGATACAGAAATTAAAATTAGACGATTAAGGATGTAAGAATGTACATAGCAACGCATTTAATGAAATGTATAAATTAAACAAATATTATTATTGTAAAAGAGTTAAATAATTACAAGAAGCTGGAGATGAGAGTGTTTATATTTATTATATAATGACGAATGTTTGTTGGATATAATCAAGTATAAAAATTTTCATTTCCATAATGGCAGAGTTAGTCAATTTTGTCAAACAATATTATTCGAAAGCGAATTTCGTAATGCAAAATATATTATGGTCAGTTCAGCAAATAATTCAAAACGTTGCACAATTATTTTTCTTTAAATTTTACATAGAAAATGAAAGTTTGTATGTGCACAATTGTTTTGTTTCTATTAAAAACGACACAACGAATATTTTTAGACCCTCGCCGGTATTTTTATTACCCACATTAGACCTAAAATGTAAGAATATAGTATATATATGCTTTATTAATTGCAAAAACAAATTAAAATCGGAGATATGTATATGAAAACTCCGTTTCATATCATTTGTACAGAATATAAAATATGTAATGAAATCATTTGTAAAACACACAAGTAGTGCCTGCCCAATAATGAGAATCCTTGTTAAGTAGCGTATATATTAATATAAAAAAAGAATATTATTGAAATAAAAATACAAGTTTTAAATACAAAACGAAAAATAAGAATAATCATGCTTTATAAAAACAATAGTGAGTAAATACAAGATAGTTGTTGTTCCTTGTTTTCGTTATTACTCAGATCAGTTGGATACAGAAATCATCAATGTCGCTATAGTACATATTTTTATATAGTATATTATTTAAGTATCTAATGTTAATAATTAGAAATATTTATGTTTAAAAGGTGTAAATGTTAAAGTACCATTAACTAAAACTATTGGAACAAAGGGATCATCAAATACTATTTATTTTGGCAGTACATACAGCACTGATACCCTTACCATAATTTTGTCCAATACCTTCAAATTAAATACGATTTTTTATTATTAACTTCCTGAAGTTCCAAATCCAATTTGATAATTTTGTGTTTTTTCGAAGTTTCAAGTCATTCTGAATCCTTCTGTTTGGCAAAGACCAGCCAGGTCAAAAATTGATTATCAAGTTTTATGCTGTTTTAATGAAACTTTGTATGCTGATTGATAGAGCTTCTGGTCGTTATAAATATACTGTAATACTACATGTTTGATAAATTTGTACAAAATTTTAAACAATTCAATAGTTTCTCATTATAATGCTCTACAGCAACTTGGCATAGCTATAAATTATCTCTAATATTGATTTCTTTTGATTCAGTCACACATTTTGGGAAATTCATCCAACTTGTCTTGAGACAAAATACCACTTACACCTAATTCTTAGATGAACTTAGACTAGCAAGGCTATCTATTGCATTTCTGAATGATCCTGATTATCAACAAACATCAACGACAGGAATTTGGCTTCTTATCCTCTCTTAATTAATTTTTATAATTAAACCACTTCTCATAGGCCTATAATATTTTACAATATTCGGTTTTACTATCAACTCTATCACCATGCGAAGTTTCATCAAAATTCCAGACGAGTAAACCTGAGGGTTATCTTGTCAGTTGTCCTTGAAGAATTTTACCCAGTGACCAATTTACACATTTTTTTGATAAATGCTGTAATCCACAATAATCTATTTCCAAAATACATAATACTTGATGATAATTAATTTTATAAAACATCATCATTTGATTCCTATTACTTTCAATTAATGGTTTCTTGACTCATCCATCATTGATGCATTAGGACTTTGCATTATTATGAAATATTATTATTAGCAGACATTGTTAGTTAATAGATATTATGTTAAATGACGTGATATGTTCCTGAATACTATTTTATAATTTAGCAATATTTATAATAATGTTAATATATATATTTAAAAGAACACGTACATGTTTATGAAGTTTGTAGATCGAAAATTATTCGAGAGAGCATGATTTTCGATTGTTTGCAAAGTAACGATTGTGTTTTGGCGAACAGTGAATGAAGATATGTATTTTATTTTATTTTAACCGATTTATAGGAGTTTGGAAGCTAGTGACATTGTTGAAAATTATTAATTGAACTTATATTTTTAATAACAAAACGAAAACTGATTCAATTTTTTGATTAATTGACTGCAATTCATACTTATCAACACAATTTTTCAAATGATACACGCACAAACTATAAAATTTTATTTCTCCTGATCAATAATGTTGCTAGCCTTCGTACTATTACCTTCACGATTGAAGCTGTTATGTTTTCAAAGTCTTGTATTAGTAAAATTTAATTTTCAAAAAAAAAACGATGCAATAAGTAGAGCTTAATAATTACTAGAGTATAAAAATAAATAAATAATTAAAATACACGGTAAATTTGAGTTTTGATTAATATGTAGCTTCAATTATATCCATCTGAACGAAAATATACCAATAATGCTTTTTATTATTTCGACGCTTATTCAAAGAAAAACCAAAATGCATATCATAGCTGTAACAGATACAACTTTGACAAATAAAAATATTGAAAACACTTGAATTTGTTTTGAGAAATCTTCTTCATTTTGGATCAGGCACAAATCAGAAGGGTATGTAGTTGGACAACTATCACACTTTTGATACTCTTTAGAAATACTTTTAATCATTGACTCAGATTCTTGTACTAACATAATTTATTTTTTCAGAGAGACATGGCTTCAAGGTTGATGTCAGTATCGCCGTTCACATTTCCATTCCATCCACCACTGTTTGATCCAGAAGCATCGGCTCGTCTGATGGCTCTTCTGCAGCAACAGCAGTCTTTTGGCTTAGGTCTTCGATTCAATCAACTTTTTGCAGAGGATCTCCTCAAGCACAAGCATGCCACTGAAGAAGCTTTGAGATTAAGACGGAATCTACCAGAGGAAGAAACCCAGGAAGAAAGCGTCAGTGGTGTTAGATGCAATGTCTGCTTCGCTAGTTTTCCATCAGCTTGGCTGTTGGAACAGCATACGGCTTTGCAGCATTTGCAGACAAGTTGCCCTTCTGGAGGAGGAGAGGATAAACCATTTATTTGTGATCAATGTGGACAGAGTTACAGGTATCACATTATCATAATTTCATATCTTTATCTTAAACTTGATACACCAAGTTATAATAATATTTTCAGATATCGGTCAGCTTATGTAAAACACAGGGAGCAAAATCATAGGGCTCGGCTACCTGCTGACAAATTATTCACATGTGATGTTTGCGGAATGCAGTTTAGATATCTCAAGTCATTCAAGAAGCACAGGTTGAATCATGCATTGGAGAGACTACATGGAAAATCAGAAATGTTTGCATCAGGGACTTCTTCTGATAATCAAGTGTCCAGTTCAAACGAAATTACCCCTGCAGCTGGTGAAGGGATCGAAGAAATGTCGGACCAGGATGATACTGTGGATTCTGCGACAGCTTCAGGTATGATAAAAGGCAAATCTTTGAATGTTCATATTTCACAAATTTTGATGATAGAATGATGGTTTATTTAGTAGCACAATTTAACCAATTGTGCTTTAAATATGAATTGATCACTGCGGCTTTCAAAACAATATCTTCTATTTTCCCCAGCAAGTAGTGAATTATCCAAGCAACCTGAGACCAGCGAAGTGGAGCACGATCCAGAGATCGAGATGACACGTGAATCCGTTCCAGAAGTTACCGAAACAGATCCTGTAGTAGAACCGTCCGAAACCAAAAGTAATTCGACATTAACAATGCCCCCAACAGGAATATCTATGGACGCCCATGAAGCATCTTTACTTAACTATCTTAGAGCTGATGCAGTCAGCAGGCAGAGAGAACGGAGATTTGCTTGCCCTTTTTGCGGAAAATGCGTCAGATCAAAGGTAAATAGATTTAGTTATTCATATAATATATATTAGGAAGCAGTCACTGGTAGAAGTTGATAAATTGTATAGATATGTAAGTAGCCCAGCATCTGCACAACCTCTCCTTTTCAAATCTGCTATTTTTTCTTTCAGTGATGTTATACTGAAGATATCCCAAAATATAGGTCTGATTCAGATTTATATGATATACAACTTCTATAACTACAAAAATAAATAAATATCAACAATTTTACATTTATACATTTCGACACTGAAAGGCTTTACATTGAGCAATGATGAATCAGCAGTTTTAAAGAACATTTTTGCCTTTCGTAATTTTTTATATTCTTTGTTATATTTTAATATCATGTAAAATTTAAAAAAAATAGTTTTTTTTAATTTTTTTATTTATTTTTCTTTTCGGTATCTAGTTTTGAAAGACACATTTCAAGTGTCGAAATGTATAAATCCATTTTTTTAATTGGATCAATTAGCTGTATTATACATCAAATATATATATATATATATATATATATATATATAATCATTTTATCATTTCAACCATTCATAACTTAATTATTTTACTATCTATGCTCTGTATTTATTTATAATTTTTAATAATATTATTTATATTATTTTCATCTTAACTTTATTTTTTTATATTATTATTTAATTATATTATTATTATTTCAAAGTAAATAGCAGCCCATTCGTCGAATTAAAAATGTAATAAAAGTATTTAAAAACTTTTATTTATACGTTTCGACACCAGATGCGTGTCATCATTCAGCAACTACAAAAAATTTGAAACATTTTATTAATGATAAAAAAAACAAATATGAAATAATTATAAACATAGAGAAACATTATGCATACCACCAGGACAAAAACACTCAGAAAAATATTTTTAAAAAAATTAAACTTGTAACATATTAGAAAAGGACTGGAAAAATAATAAGATAAAGATAATGAGAATAAAATAAAGGAAAAGGCAAAGGATTGGAAAAATATTGAATAACTACAAAATTAAAAATGTTGAAAAAAGTTGTATTATTTATATTATATATATTATATAATTATATATTATATATATATAATATATTTTAAACAATTTTTAAATAAAAATTGTACGATATTTTTATTAAATATCTGGAATATGTTGTGTTGCAATCTGTGAAAGAAAGTCTTAACATTTATTTACTTATTCGACCTAATTCATAAATACTGTATCTTTCCCTTCATTATTTATCACCCTAAGTTAAATGATAGAGAATTCTAAATTCCTATTTTTTGCATAATTTTATTTATTTATTTATTTGATATAATTTATACATATTGCATTATTTTTTCTTTGAGAATTATTACTCTGAGTTAAATTATTAAGAATTCTAAATACTAGTTCTTAATTCTTTTATTTATTTGCTTAATTTTCTACACTTGACAAAATATACAATTTTTTTTTCAATATTACAAAAATAGTTCTCAGTATTACAAATATTACCAAAATAGTTCTCAGTATTTTATTGATATTATTGACATTTTTTTTAATTTTTTTCTTGCTGTTATATTCACTCTAAGGTGCCGTTCAAGTATTACGTAAGCATTATAGGGGGGCGAGGGGGTTGTTGATTTGCTTATTTTGGATTGACATGGGGGGCAGGGGAGTCTGAATGATGATTACGTCATAGGTAGTATTTTTATTTTTTTACAACAATTGCAAAATGTTTACGTAAGCATGGGAGTAGGGGATAAGAGCTTTGCTTACTTTTGCTGACAAGGGGGGTGGGGGTGGGTAAATAATTGTAATAAATCTGCTTACGTAATACTTGAACAATCCCTAACCAACCAAAATTCTATTATTATTCTTCCCCAATACTAAACAAGTCTATCACCTTAGGAAAATCTGAAACTCCACGTCCGGAAGCACACCGGCGAGCGTCCCTTCGTCTGCCTCTTCTGCGGCCGAGCTTTCGGCGGCAAGAGCGACCTGACCCGTCACCTCCGCATCCACACGGGCGAGAGGCCCTACCACTGCGAGGCCTGCGGGAAATGTTTCGCGAGGGCCGATTATCTATCGAAACATCTCACGACTCATATACACAACGCGCCTCGTTAGGAGCCGAAAATGACCAAGATAAGTAATTAGCTGTGATTGGATAGTAGAACAATGATAGGTATCTCGAATTTTTTAATGATAAGTTTGCTAGGTTTTGTGATTTTTGTTGTAGTTGTTTGTTAACTCTTTTGCTACGAGGGTGTCGACTTTTGCTTTAAGATTTATTAGTCTGAGTTGAATTATTGAGAATTAGAATTCCTATTTTTTCATAATTTTATTCATTTATTTATTTGATATAATTCATAGATACAGTATCTTTTCTTTCAAGATTTATCACTCTGAGATTGAGAATTTTAAATTTATTATTTTTTTATTTTTTTATTTTCTTTATTTATTTGATTTCAAAACTCTAATTAACTGAGTGAAATTATTGAGAACTATAAATTTCTATTTTTTTATTTTATTTATTTATTTATTTGATATAGTTCAAACATACAGTATCTTTTCCTTTAAGATTTATACTTTTTACAGATTTATACATTTTATTTAAGATTATAAATTTTTATTTTTTTATTTATTTATTTGATATATTTCATACATACTAATTTTTTTTCTTCAAGATTTACCACTCTGAGATTGAGATTTTTAAATTCTAATAGTTTTTTTTTTATTTATTTACTTCATAAATTCGACATAATTCATAAATACTGTATCTTTCCTTTCAATATTTATCACCCTAAGTTAAATGATAGAGAATTCTAAATTCCTATTTTTTTTCATAATTTTATTTAGTTATTTTTTATTTGATATTTATATCAAATAAATAAAAAATATCTATGAATTTTCATTGATACAGTATCTTTTTCTTTAAGATTTATCTCTCTGAGTTAAATGATTGAGAATACTAAATTCTTATCTTTTTATTTTTTTTTATTTATTTATTTATTCGATATATAATTCATACATACAGTATCTTTTGCTTGAAGATTTATCACTCTGAGTTAAATGATTGAGACTTATAAATTCTAATAGTTTTTTATTTATTTATTTATATATTTATTCAATATAATTCATACATACTGCATGTTTTCCTTCAAGATTTATCACTCCGAGTTCAATTACTGAGTCTCCTAAATTCTTAATTTTTTATTTGTCTTATTATTTATTAAACTTTTGCTTCAAGATTTATCACTCTGAATTAAATGATTGAGAGTCATAAATTCTAATAGTTTTTTAAATTTTTTATTATTTTATTTATTTGATATAATTCATACATAAAGCATCTCTTCCTTCTAAATTAATCACTCTGAGCTAAATTATTGGCAATTATAAATTTTAATAGTCTTTCATTTATTTATTATCTATTTATTTATTATTATTCGATATAATTCATACATACAGTATATTTTGCCTCAAGATTTATCACTCTGAGTTAAATGATTGAGAACTCTAAATTCTTATATCTTGATTTTTTATTTTTTTATTTATTCGATATATAATTCATATATACACTATCTTTCGCTTCAAGATTTATCACTCTGAGTTAAATGATTGAAAATTATATATTCTTATCTTTTTATTTATTTATTTATCAATATAAAATTCATACATACAGTATCTTTTGCTTCAAAATTTACCACTCTGAGTTAAATTATTGACAATTATAAATTCTAATAGTTTTTTATTTATTTATTTTATATTTATTAACTTATTCGACATAACTCATAAATACTGTATCTTTTCCTTCAATATTTATCACTTAAGAGTTAAATTATTGAGTCTTCTAAATTCTTATTTCTCAATTTTTATATTTATTTATTTATTCGATATATAATTCATACATACAGTATATTTTGCCTCCAGATTTATCACTCTGAGTTAAATGATTGAGAATTCTAAATTCTTATTTCTTAATTTTTATATTTTTTTATTTATTCGATATATAATTCATACATACACTATCTTTCGCTTCAAGATTTATCACTCTGAGTTAAATGATTGAAAATTCTAATCTCCTATTTTTCTATTTCTTTATTTATTTATTTATTCGATATAATTCATACACACTGCATCTTTTCCTTCAAGATTTATCACTGAGAGTTAAATTATTAAGAATTCTTACTTCCTATTTTTTTATTTTTTTTATTATTTATTTATTCGATATAATTCATACATACTGCATCTTTTCCTTCAAGATTTATCACATCGTTATCAGTTTCTTAAATTCTTACTTTTTTATTTTTCTTATTCAATTATTAAACTTTTGCTTCAAGATTTATCACACTGAGTTAAATTATTGAAAATTATAAACTCTGCTTTTTAATTTATTAATTTATTCTATATAATTCATACATACAGCATCTTTTCATTTAAGATTTATCACTCTGAGTTAATTTATTGATAATTTTAAATTCTTATAATTTTTTTATTTTTTGTTTTCTTTATTCATTCATTTATTCAATATAATTATAATTATATAGTATTATATATAATACTTATTGTATCTTTTACTTCAAGATTTATCATTATCCTGAGTTAAATGATTGAGAATTCTAAATTCCTATTCTCATTTATTTTTTTATTTATTTATTCGATATAATTCATACATGACCTTTTTCTCTTCGAGAATTATCAATCTGAGTTGAAAATTACTTCTTAATTCTTAATTTTTCTATAACAAATGATGAGTGATATATTAACTTATCGTAGTATTCAGTTCTTTCTAAATGTATATTGTAGTTTTTAAATATATATTTTTATCATTCATGCTTGTAAAAGTCTTGAAATATCTTGAGTAATAAATATTGGGGTTGCTCCTGCAGAAAGCACTCTCGTAGCAAAAGGGTTAATATGATGATCAATTATAATTATTAACAATATAATAACTACAGATTTGGAATTATTAGTTAGGTATGGATTACATAACCGAATAGATGCAAGATTGGGCTTATTTATATAAATAAAATTTTAATTAATTTACTAAGTATGGCTGATAGTTTTTCTCCCAATATTTTGGAATGATAAATTAAGATATTGATTACTTTCTTATTAAATTATTTAATTAAATCTTTAGAAATTAAATTCTGTATTATTTATATTATTATTATTATTATATATTATTATTATTATTATATATTATTTCAATTATCATTATAATATTTTATCAAAGTTACATGCAACCTTTTATATTTCATTATTGTATAATCTTAATCTGCATCTATTGGGTTAATAATCTGAGAATAAAAGTTCAACATTTTTAAAAATATGTTGAACTTTTATAAATATTAATAATACTTGTAATTCTCTTTAATATAATTTCATATTTTAAAATTTAGTTTAAGTATATCACACTCTACTTTCAGATATTATAGTTTAGAATATAATTTTATAATCAGTATCTTAGGATGATTATTTAATTATTATACTTATTTTTATATATTTGCTTTTCTGAAATATTGATTATAAGAGTAAGAGTGATCAGTTTAAGGTGTGACATAATTTAATGAAAAATAAGAGATAAAGTTGATTATAAAAAATCACATGAAGAATTAATTATGTACATTTGATTGTTGGAGCAAATTGACAGTAATTTACATACAAATTATGTAAATTTTATATAATTATAATAGAAAATTCAAAACGTGTGTCCGATCCTGGTTTAAGACGTATACACACATTGTCCTATGCACTAGTGTCTTATCAAATTGTTCGCTTTTCGTCTATTGAAAGTCTATGGTAATAATTATAATTACATGCTCTGATAATATTCGAAAGAAGCAAATAAATTTAGCTCGTGTTAAAAATGTTCAAGTTAAAATCGTCCATTATTAACATCTTTTTATTTACTATAAAACTATTCATTGGAGTTTTAATGTTAGATATTATTCTGTATAGTGGGTTAATATTTACTTATTTTTATTTTATATAGGACATGGTAAAGCTGGATGTTGAGATAGTCTTGGAAAACTTTTGTGATATTTTTTCTGAACCTCAAACAGATGTATCCAGAGACAGGAATGTAATTTATTCAAGGTAGTAAGTTTTTAATTACTATAAAGGACATCTCAACATTTCAATTTTATTACAAAATATTTTAATTCAATTTGATTATCTTAAGCTAATAAATAAACGTTAACATTAACAATTTGCAATTTGCGAAACTGTGATTTATTGGAAGCAAAATTACATTTAGTATGAAATATATAAAATATAAATTAATAAACGTGAGATTTAAGTATTAGAAAATTTACAGTGGATATATTAATAAAAATTTGAATTGTATAGCTATATATTAATAAATGTACCTATATTTATGATAATCTGACTGTGCCAAATCGATGTACCTCATACTAATTATTTATTAAATATTTCGGTGTTAACTCTTATTGAACTAAACGTAAGCTAAACATATGTAATGTAATCTAATATGGGTGTTGTGATTCTCGTACTTTTCTTAAATGTTGATGTCATTTTCAATATAATAATTTCATGTATTCCTTACGGTTAGTGATCAATAACTTGTAACTCAAATGTAGCTTAGTTAATAATTGTTTTATTGCTTTCAAGATCTGGATTAAGTTTCACTCTAACTATAAAGTTCAAATTATAGTAGCTATTTGTGATATATGTACTATTAATATCTATTTTGTGTCAAATTCTATAACAATAATTAAATATATTTCAAAAGCGCCGATCCAAATTTATATATGAAATGTAATTAAGGAATTAAAATTAAACTCGTGATTTTTAAAAAAAAAACGTGTCAAAAAACAATTATTTGGTTGCGAGATAATTGAGGCGAGTCCAAAAAAATAATTACAGTTTATAACTTTATATTGTTGATGCAATTCATACAATTTATTTCCAGAATATAATATGATATTAGCTCATAACTATCAAAGCATATTCAAAGTTTTTAATTTTATAATCTTGAGCAATATAAAGTAAGTTGTCGATTGTATTGAATTCTATCAATAATAGATGTTTAATTCTTTGTAAACTCTTAACACTTACTAAAGTGGTAGAAATCTCACATTTATAAGAGTATTAAATGTTCAAAAATAACTTTTAAATTATACTGGCCAATTTTGAGTAGTTATAATAAGATACATTTGCTTCAAATTATATATGTATATGTACTTTACACTTGTTCTTATAATTTTGATCTAATAAATTTAAGAAAATTGTATTAGGAACTA